TTTTGCCCTGAGGCAGTTTCAATTTCCGCTTGCGGTATTAAAGGAAAATACATCCCAAAAATCCCGTTTTGCTTTTGCTTTTTCGAAGCGCTTTTGCCAACCGCCGACCAGCGCACAAAACCCATTTAGAGCCAAGAGAGAGAGAGAGAGAGATTTTCCCTGTTAAAGTCAGGTGCAGGTCGGTGCTTTAAAATGAACTTTGCCAGGCAACAGCGACAGCTTAGCGAGTCGAGCTGAGTTTTTCAAGAGGAAACGAGAGGCATATCGGGCTACGAGAGGTGACTTACCGCAGCTGAGGATATACAGAATATCTTTGGGTACATCCCCAACTTCCAGGGTACATCCCTTGCAGAACACCTTAATATATTGTCAGGACATTAATCAACGGATCTATGCGCCAAAGAGTATGCCCAAAGTCTAAACCCAAAGACCTAGCACAGCCACAGCCATTTGTTTTTCTACTTTTTGCCCACAAACCATCTGCAGCCCCTGCAGCTTTCTATGCACTTTAAAACTGCAACCAATGGTGGCGGCTGGGAGGTGTGTGGCCAGGCAGTGGTGGGGTGTGAAGGCAAAAAAAGGGATGAATGGAATCAACACCAGCCTCGGCTCGACCCAAGCCAAGGAGAAGCCCACCCAGACCCAAGCGAAGGCACAGACACAGATAGTGCCACGCACACACATTTCCATATACACGTGTGTGTGTGTGTGTGTACTATGAATGGAAATGAAAAGCAGTTAATGCTCAAGTCACGGAAAAAGCGTAAATGGAAAAAGTTAAGCGCATTAATTATTTATTTATCGCTTTACGATGTTCAAGTGTCGGTGAACTTGCACCGTTGCCCGTTTCATCGTTGCCCGCTGACAAGATGCCAACAAAAGGCAACAAAAAAGGAGTAACCAACAACCAAAGCAGAGGGAAAAACATTAACAGCGAGACAGCTAAGCAAATTGCGCACAAGTTCGTAATCCTTCGTGAAAGGGAACAGCATCAGAAACAGAAACAGAAACAGGAGCACGGCGGAGCGTAACAGTTGGCAGTGAGGAAAAACAGGGATTTGCGAGCCAGCCAAGCATTTCAGCTTGCAGTTGGCTAAGGCTGTGAGACCAACGGCAACGGAGAGCATTCTGCTCCTGCCACTGAACTTCAAATTGTCATTAAAACAATGCTTAAAATAAATTGGCCAAAGTCGGACATGACGTACACCTTTTGCAGGGAGTAAACTAAAGCTTTGCCTTGGCTGTAGTCTAGGTCAAAGAAAAGCCTTTAAGCAAGTGTTAAATGATGGCAGAATGGCAGCATTTTCCTTTGAATTCAACAAGATAAATGCCTTACCTTTGCTGTCCAACATATTGGCAGTTGGTCGATCGCCAAATTGTAACAAGAGCTCAGTCGCTTGGCTTCTGATTTTCGCGTGTTTATTTTTGGTTTTATGTGTACTTAGGACTTTTAGAATTTCGTTGTTAACCGTGAGGTTTCTCTTACAAAAAACATAATCGGCAGCCAAGACCCCCTCGGGGCTGCCCAGACACACCAGAAACTGCGACTTTGTTGTGAATTGTGTAGCCTCTTGCTCAAATTGATGGGTGTAATCGAGTGTAAGGAAATTAGAGCGACACTTTGCCACCTCTGGCTGTTTCTCAACTTTTTCCGATGAGCTGGCAAATTTCGACATGTAATAAACAAGTTCTCCAGGGCTACGCTTGTCGTTGTCTATTTTTGTGGCACGTGGGGCCTTTTTACAAGAGGAAAAAGAGGCAACAAAAAATGGGGCTATATTTGGGTTACATGCTCGAAACTCTGGGATATATCTGCACACTCTTGTGTAGCCCTTTTGGTAATTACAATTGAAACTAAATTGGTCAACTTTTGATTTCTTTCTTGGCACAGCTCGCCTCTGATGTCGTCCATTTGTGTGCGAGTGGTCACCTTTCCTTGGATGTGGATATTCATGAAGAACCCGTACGAGGGCGCCCAGTGTGCCATTCGACTGGCCACGGATCCGCTGCTGAAGGAAGTCAGCGGCGAGTACTTCAAGTGAGTTGCCATGGCCACTGCCGTTGGTCCAGTTGTTTGCCGCTTGCCGCATTAGTGGCACTTTGTTGGCCATTTCTTGTTACATCTTCTCCACTCTTTTTGCTTTGTTTCAGTGACTGCGAAATTGCGGCAAGTTCGGAGCCTGGGCAGGACAAGGAGCTGGCCAAGAAATTGTATATGCAAACGATAAAAACACTCGAGAGCGTTACCAAACTCACAGTCGACAGGGAGACGTACGCGGTGGAGCAAGAGTCGGAGCCAGAGCTGAGGCTGGAGACAGCACCGGAAACGGAAACGGAAACGAACCAGTCGGAGGAGAGCAAGTTGGAGTTGGAGATGGAGATGGAGAAGCAGCAGCCGTTGGAGTGATTTATGCCTGGCACGCGGCCCGCCGCCTTCGGAGACTGCCACTGCAGCGTCTATTTGCATTTGGTTTAACAATTGCCGCATCAGGCGGCAGCCCCAGCCAGACGCTGGCCACTTAGGAGAGACTTTTTTATGGGTCTGCAATTGCAGCTGCAACTGCCACCGAAGCCAAAGCCAAAGCCAATGGTTCTACTTTTCCTACAAATAAAATGTAACTTTAATGTGCGAGCAGCCCTGAAACTTGCTGACTTGGTGCTTTGTTCCAGTTTTGGGGATGTTCTTTCACCCGGACAGAGCTCTGAGGGAGAGGCCTGTGGGGGGGAATAACGAATCCAACAGGCAAAATATGTTGCCTCTGGTGTGCTGTCTTTGATTTATTTCCAATTTCAAATGCTTTCGGATGAGTGGAAGACGCCCAAGCCCCTCCAGAACAGCACAAAACAGAATGGGCAGGCGCAAGCAATTTGCTTAAATGTAAGAACTGAATTTTAAGCAGGATTTTCGAGAGAGGAAAAGTGTTTTTATCAATAAAACAGCAACAGCAGGGGGTACATTTTGTGTTAGCCCGAACAAGCCGACTTGAAGTAAATAATTAGAAGCTTAAGCAAATTTATAATAGTTGGCCATTTATGCGAAAAAGCCAAAATAGATTGGCTTCGATTTTCTTGCTCAAATTTATGTTAGTCATAGATCTTTGAAGCAGAACTACGAATGCATTCTAAAAGTTATTTTAATTGCCAAATTCCTGTGGAATCTGTAGGCAAATCCATTCCTGTTAATTGAGAAATTTCTCTGCCTCGGGCGAGCCGGCAAACGCGTTCCAACAAACTGTTGATTACCACCCCAACCAGCAGGGCTTTGGCCACACATGGAGCGCACATCCCACCTAGATACAGATGCACGTAGACATGCACGAAAGCATTTTTGTGCAGAGATGCAAGGCCAATTATTTGCAGTTCAGTTAAAACAGATTTCCATAAGAATGAGTGTAGAATGTGCGGCTTAGGCCAGGACCGGCACATGGCAAAGTCAACCAGTTGGGACGCGGACATAACCAGGACACATGCAACTGTCTGTGCGCAGCGCCGCTTTGTATGCTATGGAAAATCTCTTTATTATATTACGTGCCACGCTTTTGTTGTCAGTTGGCAGCAGCAAAGACCCAGCCTCTGGGTGGCCTCCGGCACCCATCCACCCCTGCAGGCAGCAGCAAGTGGAAGCGCCATGTGCTGCTAGAACAATTTGATGCTTCCCTTTTGGAAGTTGCTTCGTAGGGACTGCCCCAGTTCTTTTTCTTTTTCCTTTTCCCATTTGCTGTTCCCTGTTTCCTTTTACTGCCTCTAGTCCTCTAGCTGGCGCAATGAAAAGCTCCTAGAGTGGAAAAGCGATTACGTTCTTGCCATTTCCCCAGCTGCCAAAAGCTTTGCGTTTCCGGTTACCTTTCCGCCGTGACGTGTTAGTGTAATATGCATTTTACGCGCTTCAATTATCGCGCTGCATGGAACGGGCCGATAGCAGCGCTCCCCAATGATGATGAACGTCAGATGGAGTCGAGCAATTCAGCAAAAATTGTGCACAGTGTAGAGGAAGCTTTCCTTGGAGAGAGCATTGGAGCGAAGCAACAGTCGCAAAGCTCAAGCAAGCGCTTGACTCTCTTCGAGTGGATGTGGCCGCTGCTCTTAATTCTGTTTCTCTTTGGTGATTTTTGATTCAGGCAAATATTTCGCATACGTAAAATAGGGACACAAAATGATAAGTTGATTGATAAGTTAGCTGTAAATTATTTAAATTTAAATATAAATATTAAAAATATTGTTTGAATATTCTGGAGAACTATTATAATAATAATAATAATTATAATTATTATGTCATAAATTCGTATTTATTTATACAGCAATATTTCCATTGCAGTAATCCTACTAGAATATCTTTAATATTGTTTATTTTAAATTCCAAATATTAAGTTAAACTTTCCTTGGGCAAAGCTTACATTTGATCACCTGGTAACCCTGTGAAAGCATACTCTTCTTCTTGGACTATCTGTTCCCACTCTCTTTGGGCTCTCTCTTTTGGTTACAACTTCAAAGCTTTAAACACCTGTGCGAAAGCTTTGGCGGCTCTGATGTAAACAACGCCAAGTGCGAGGCAATAACAAAAAAACAAGAAGGGAAGCACGCAAAGAGAACGAGTAAATAAACAGATGAACAGAATCCGAATTAAAATAAAAACAGATTAGGGAAACGCGTCAAGAGTGTAGCAATCGGAAGGCACTCACAACAACTGCACAACTCAATGCTCTCTCTCCACCTCTCTCTCTCTCTCTCGCTCTGCCAGTCGAGTTTTGTGCGGGAGAGCAGAGTTGCTCCGCGTGGGAGAACAGCCGGGAGCGAGAGCCCGACCCGACCGAGTCTCATTTGGGAGCGGTGGCAAAGCTGAGCTTTGGCATTTTATTTGGATTTTCCTTTTCGGATGCTTTTTCCTTTGCTCTGGCTGTGCTCTGCTGCTGCTCTGCTGCTCTGCTGCCTGCCTCTGGCTTTGCGATTGCGATTGCTGTTGCTGCTGCCTCGGCCACTGCTTTTTCGCCGTTTGTGTTTCAGTTGCGCGGCGGCCGAGGCAAAGTGAAAACGTGCGAAATTTCTACCGTTAACCGAAGCGACAACAGCGACACAACGTGGACGCAGGCGACGACGATGCTGCCACAGCGGGCAACCTGGCAGTAGCCGTAGCACACACTCATCCCCTCCCCACCACTACTCGGACTCGTGCTCGTAAAAAAAAATTACTACACACTCACACACTCGAAAACAAATATTGAAAGTTCTAAAGAAAAGCATTTCGCCTAGCGAAATGGGCCACAGTTGAAGGAAGTTAAAGGTGTGTTGGTTGCTTCTCTCTCTCTCTCGCTATCTCGCTCTTCGTGTCCGTTAACGTATCGTTGTGTTTGTGTGCATATTTATTATTTTAATTAATTGCATGCAATTTTTAAGACATCCATGTATATGCATCAAAAAGTGTTGCACCTAAATATCGAGTGTGAAAATAAACGGGAAGCATAATGAAGAGACAACATACCCCCTGCCCACACTCGGAGTCCGCGCTATTATATCACATTGAGCATAACTGTAATGTTCTGCACTTCTCCTTTGTTCTCCTTGTTCTCCTTCGCTCATTATTATGTCACTTGGAGCATAAGTGGAATGAACTGTTGCCGTTCCTGTTGCCAGCCTGCTCGGCTCGGCTCTCTTCGTGTGGTACCTCTGCGGCAGTTGTAATGATTTTTAGCATCTCCCAAACACTCTTATCACCGATAGGATATATAGCCCCTGTCTGTCTGCTTGTAGCTAGGCCATGCAATGGTATCAAAAGGTTCGTTTTTGTTGCTCAACCCATAAGTGGGATCTTTTCTGGCCCGCTCCAATGCAAATGTTTGCCTGCCCCCGCGCTAGTTAATATTTATTCGCTCCTTCAAGCAAGACCAGCCCCGGACTTAGGCCCACCCCCCTGATAGCCGCTTTACGCCCTCTTTGAGTTATCCTTTAGCCAGAAAGGCAAACAAAAACACGTTCGAGTTGTTCCTTGGCCTTGGTATTTATGGCCAGTGCGTCAGCCTGTCGCACACTTGACATGAGCTCGGCGGGTCCCGTTATCGTTAACCGTTGCCCCCCTATGTATCCACCGCCTTGCTAGCCGGGGGCATAGTATTCCTGACTAGTGGGCCCCCTCCCTGTTGGACCCCACCCACAGTAATGGAATTTGGACTCGTCGTGGCAGCCTCAGCATCAGCCACAGATCAGCCCGGCATCATCATCGCAGCGCGTTCTCGCTCCCAGCGCCCTCAAATTATTATCACCTCACTAATTATCTATCGATGATAATGATGATGATGATGTTGTTGCCATTTCCAGCCAAATCTCTTATCAGGGCACAGCGCGCGACTTTTGCGTCGTCTTTGGCTATTTGCATTTTGTCTCTGAAACGAAAATTCTCATAATATTCCAACAAATAAACATGTGAGTACGAGCAGCAGCGCCAAGCACCTAAAAAGTGGCAGATAACGGGGAGTCCAAATCAAAAACCAAAACCAAACAAGTAGCAGGAAAAGCTAACTTTGCAGCAACTTTTTATTTGGCAGCCGCCATCCCTTGGTGTTACCACAAAAAGGTTGCCCAAAGATTGAAGTTTCAACTGGAATAGAGATGGTAGCGTGAGTACATAGATAGTAGGAGCTAAAATATTTCAATTCCCATTGCCTCGAAATGTATTCTCATCATTAATCTTTGTCTTTTAATTGCATTTGTGGCAAAGTATCTACAAAGTATTTCCATATTCTGCTTTATTTAATTATTGACATCAACATTTTGTATGCCATTTTGTGTGTCTTATGTGGAACAACAATTCAAACACTTGTAGATTATCAATGCTGCCAATAAAAATAGAAAAGATCATTTGCAAAATGCCATGAACATTTCTATACACTTATTCATAATTATTAAATGCCAAAATGCAGAGTCTAAAAATATTTCAAGAACATATTCATATAATTCTAAATATTTCTTGACTTTCTCAATTCACAAACACTTGAAAACAAATTCGGCAATAATTTGAGAATACTTCGGCATGTACGATGAGTGATTATTTCGCTTGTTTTCAAATACAATTGAAAACAACAAACTTTAGATTTAGTTGTAGAAAACTTCCTAATGCTTGGAATTTGCATCCGAAATGGTTCTCTTTCTGATCTATCAAATTACATTATTGAAAAGCAAAATTGAACAATTAAATCACGGTTCACGGCTCACCTTTTGTGCACTGCACACACATGTATACCATATCTAAGAAAATTGTAGAAAATGTGGCCAGTATCTAGGAAATGAAATAACCTTGGGGGTTTGGTCCTTGTGCCCCGACGCTAAAAATCGCTTATCAACGCGAGCACAAAGCGCCACGGCCAAAAGCGGTGCCAGGGCCAGGGCCAGGGCCAGGGCCAGAGGCAGAGCTGGAACCGTAGCCATAGCTCGAGCCCCCACAGTTAGTTTCTCGCACAGCCTTGACAATGACAGAGAAATAAGAAAATGGGCGCTAAATGGGCGCGACGGTGCGAGGCAGGGCTGGCACATGGCTCGTCGGAGCGGCGGGGCAAAGAGTGCAAAAATGCCAATAGCTGTAGAGGGGGAGAGTGGTTTTGGGCGCAATAGAGAGAAAGCCCAAGGGCTGCAGGTGGGGGAGAGATGTGAGAGTGCGGCGGCCGTTACAACAAACAAACAAAGGAAACAAACAAACGATAAGGGGGGAGAGAGCAGAGCACAGAGAGAGAAAGAGAGGAGAAAGCTAGCTGATGGTCGAGGTGGGTGTAGGGAGAGAGGCGAGACCCATGCCGGGTCGAGTGCTTTAGTTCATGACACAAACACACACGAGTCTGAGTCGTACGTTCTCTCTCCCGCATGCCTTCTCTCTCTCTCTCTCTCTGTCTGTCTGTGTCTTTCCCACTGTCTTAGCATACATTCTTCTGTTTGTGTGCGTGTAGTAAAACGGGTTTTTGAGTTTACTTATTCGCTGCCCTGGTCTGGCGCTGCTTTGCTCTGCACTGCTCCCTGCTCCCTGCTCCCACGTCCAAGCCTGGTCGGCCGGGGCATCGTCAACGGCTTTGGCAGTCAGTTGGCCAAGTCAGTTGCTCTTTTGGCTTAACAAACTCAGAACGTGCCGCGGCGACAATGGCAGTGACAAGCGATTGCAGCGCATAGCATCAAATGGAAGCACACAGCAAACAGCAGTAACAGTAAAAACAGAGGCAAGAAGCAGCAGCAAGCAGCACAAGAAAGAAGAGGAACACGAAGCAAGGCTTAGTCAGCCTGGCCAAGTGGCATCCATCGGCTGCAAGACAGTAAAAACAATTCCAACCCAGTCCCCTTTGTCCCCTCCAGTGTGTGTGTGTGCTTAATAAATTATTAACAAAAAATAGCGGAAAATGGAGAATGGAGAGCGGAGAGTGCCATTTGCAGGCAGCTTGTTGCTTGTTGTTATGTAAATGTCAAATGTATCTGTATCTCATGGATACCAAGCAGTCTTAATGCCAATTTGGCTGAATATCTTTAGTGCCTCTGTCTGTGTGTGTGTGTGTGTGTGTGTGTGTGTGTCTATGTCTGTCTTAGCCTTGACTTTAGGCCTCTGCGCTGCGTCATTTTCTGCTCCAATTTGGTTTTTTTCTCGTTTTTAGTGCCAGACACTTGAGGTCTTAAGCGGATGCCTACCCAGCCTCCACTGTTGCTGCTCCACCTTCTCCTTCTACTCCTTCCCTTCCCGCGCTGCCATTGAAATTCAAAACGCACTCCGCTACCAGCTGCGAGGCAACTTTTGACTGATACACCTACTTACTTACAAGAAATAACAAAAAGCAACAACAACAAAAAATAAGAAAACAAAACGATAAATTCAAGTAACGAAGCTTAAGATACCTCGAGTGTGGCAGTGCATCGATTAGGGTACAAAAAATTGGTCATATATGAATGACCCGCGATAAATGTATAACAATTTTCAATGAATTCAGATTAAAGATTGAAGTTCCTAATTCCCTATTGAAATTCGCCAACCCCACAGCATCGCAGCACCTTCTTGACCTTCCTGTCCATCATCTAGACAATTTTGTAATACCCTGTATCACAAGAGACAACCAAATATCAGATGAAGAAGGAACGAAAAAAAAAAAAAACTTTTAGAAAGTTGCTTGGCGGCCGCTGCCGCCGCTCTCTTGAGTCTCTTTCTCGGCTTTCGTTTTGTTGTTCTTCCGCTTATGTTGCCGCCTCCCTTTTGCGTCTTTACATCTCGCATTCCTTTCATGGCCAGGCAGCAGCGCACATATTTTCCATCGTGATTTATAAATTATTTTTTAATGCCTCACACACACAAACAACACACAGACACACATTCCCCCTATGTAAATGGGTCACAAAGGCCACTTGAAAATAATTGGAAAGAACTGAACTCAAAATATCTTTCAGACATTATTTTCCCAGCCCGATCGCGGCGCTGCAGTGATGACTTTTCTCAATCGCCATTAACAACCTGTTTTTTGTAAATATTAATAGCAACGAGTATCTGTAATAATGGCTATTAATATGCCCAATTGAGGGGTACGTAATGGAATCGGCTTGCTGACTCGATTGCCGCATTATTTATCGACCCATTGTCTCTCAGCTACAAAAAAAACACACATTCCCACACTCAAGCTCCATGACCTAACTTACTAACTCTCCCACAAACAAAAATCAGCAGACAGTCGGCTCGTAAAGTATGCGATCACCGCGCTGCGATGCATGACTTTGCTCTGGGAACTGATGGGAAAACTTTAACATGATAAAAGATGCTCAATAAATTCTGAAACTCCTGCCAATAAAATCTTTATGGGAACTTCTTCACAATTGACTTATTGTACATTTAATTATCAGCTCCATTTATTTGTCTGCAAAACTTGTGAAATGCAATTGAAAGTTTCAAATGACTCTTGCAAAGGCAGCGAAAGATTTCCTTTTGGTTTGCCATTTCAGCAATTACACTCTTACTTCTGTCAAAAAAACTTATTCGACAATCTCGTTACAGTTTGCTCTTATGACTGTCGTGGGAGTTCTGCCCTATAGCTGGATCTATAACGCAGAGCCGTGACCAAAGCAAAACAAGCAGAAGCAGTCATTGGAATCATCCAGAAGCAAAGCTGAGAAGGAAGAGCGACGAAAGCGCAATCAGGATAGCGGTGGGCAACTAATACAAAAGTTATTGCGTCCTTGGCATTTGTGACAACAGGAAGAACCTCAAACAGGGAGACCGCACGAAGGTCGAGGAATCAGTGCAGCAGTCGTGAAAGTAGAGTGGGGAAAGGCAGCAGAATCCTTTATTGAGAGCAAGCAGTGCCGCCACCGTGGCCCAACGACACCACAGCAACACCAACGGCAGCAGCAGCAGCGGCGCCAGCCTTGGCGTTGGCAGTGGCGCTGGCGTTGGCGTTGGCTTTGGCAGCGTACCCGTCATCATGGAGGGGCCCGAGGTGACATTTCTATTCCAATTTGGCAGCATACGCGATGCAGTTAGCGTGCCCGTAACCGCACTCACGCTCAAATCACTCAAGGATATGGCCTGTGATTTCATCAACACAAAGGTAAGATGAGAAAAAAAAGGTCTTTGAGGGATCCAGGGATATTCAGCTGTATAGCTGTATAGCCATATAAATATATTTATTTGCCAGCTGTGACGAGCCGGAAAGCGGTCAAGTCAACACAAAGCTCCACATGCCGCAGCTCCTACGAGTCCGATTAACAGTCCGAATCGAGTCTGGACAGAGGCACAGAGCTTAATAAATGTCTATGTGTGCAGAATAATTGCTTTATTTCATTAAGTCCAAGTAACACACAGGCATGACTCGCCTACTTCGCTCGGGACGGGGGTTATTCCATGGCCAATTCAATTAACCAAGCCGCAAACCGGGGACCCATAACGAGACACTGCCAGGCGACAGCGCCAGCTGGGCCACATGAAAGTGGATACAACTTTGCTCAAGGAGTACAACGAAACCATTCGATTTGCCACAGAAATTTATGGCATTTTCTCTGCCCCACAAAAGCTTCAAAGAGAGTTTTTCCATTGCATATTTGTTATTTATCTTTTATCGATAGGGACATATTTGTTGTGCATATGCCACAGCGCTGAGTCTTATCGGACAATCAATTAAGATACGAATACGAATATGATATGATAAGTGGGTGTAGTGCGGGGTGGGGAGCGAACCAGAACATATGCAAAAATCGAGCGTTAAATGAAGCAAAAGTAGACATGGACACGGGCAGTAAAGGTTCGACACTTCATTCCAGATACCGGACAGCGGCCTCACGTATCTGTCGGAGCGGATTCTGTTGTTTGTGCACGACTACAGCACACCCAATGTCCTGCACATTATCAATTCGGCAGCGGAAGTGGTGGACGAGACCCTGGTCGAAATTGTATTGACAGCAAGTCGTAAGTGCCACAAACCCCAACCCTCAATCTTTGTGCTTTGTTTGACTGTCTGTCTGTCTGTCTGCCTGTCTCTTTTTCTATAGCAATCCTGTATCCGACGTCGGAGATGCCAACGCTAAAGCCGCACAGCCTCAATGTGCATTCGTACAAGGGACCGACATTCTGTGATTTCTGCGGTGAAATGCTGTTCGGCCTGGTGCGTCAGGGACTCAAATGCGACGGTATGTCCGGGCGCACATTTATGACAACTCATCTCCTCATTGTACTTTCTCCCTTCCCCGCCCACAGGCTGCGGTCAGAACTATCACAAGCGTTGTGTGGTGAAGATACCAAACAATTGCAACCGCTCGAATGACGCCACATCGAGACGTTCCTTCACCCTGCAGCCGCCACGCAGCCCATCCGGCAGCTCACAGCAGTCGCTGATCTCCTCCGCCGAGGAGTCAACCGGCCGGAATGACTCCAGCAGTTCACTGGTAAAGCGCATGTCGGACCTTATGAATGACATTATTAAGAATTGACAGCACATTCCGCAGCTAGTTTTCCCCCTCAGTGTGTGTTTGCGTGTCTTTGGGTGTTTGGTTAACCATTCTTTCTCTAACCGGGGCAGCCCTACGAGTATTTCAAATTGTATTTACACTCTTTTATTTTTTGTACAACTTTATTCTCTTCATTTTTGAATAAACTTTCATTTTGTGAACACTTAATCGATCCTTTAACGCTTTTAGCAACTCTTTTGAATACTCGTAGGGCGGCTCTGAAGAAGAGAGTGAAAGTTTGAACCGGGGGAATGTTCTGTAACTTGGAAACTAAAACTAAACCGACCCTAAAGCATAACCCCAGCCTGTGTGTGGGTTTTTTCCTTTAGATTCTTCAGACTTTTCCTTCATTCTCTCTTGGAGTTTAAGGAAAAATTTTAAAGTAAATGCCAGATGCCGCAGATTTAGATGTTTTCTCGATAGAGTTTTCCTGCTGAGATTGCAGGTACACTGTCTGAGTACCGGGTATAAAAGTTGTGACGCATAACAAGCGTCTCACACGTCCCTTCTCGTTTTTTTTTGGCATAATTTAACCACAGAATCTGCCATCCCATTCCATTCCATTATTCCGCTCTCCTTTACTGTGGCACAGTCTTACCCCAGGGATCTGCAAGTCCTTGCCATAATTTATCCTATTAGTTGTAGTCAATTATCCGCCCCACCGTAGAGAGTAAAAACGAGGCAAAAACACCACTCCAGAGGCTCAGACAATTTGCTAATTAGATTTCTGCCCGTTCCAGAACATACCCGGACGGCATCAGCGCACCCACTCGTCGGGCAGCCGGAATGGGCTGACGGTGCTGCGCATTCCGCACACCTTCCAGGTGCACACCTATGGCATACCGACGGTGTGCCAGCTGTGCAAGAAGCTGCTGAAGGGGCTGTTCAAGCAGGGGCTGCAGTGCCGCGACTGTCAGTACAATACGCACAAGAAGTGCATGGACAAGGTGCCGCTGGACTGCACGGGGGAGGCGCAGCTCAGCCAGCTGCAGCTGCAGGCGGAGAGCGGGGAGGGGACGCCGCGCAAGGAGCGGGACAACTTCTTCCGCGAGGAGTTCGACGACAGCGACTTCGAGGACTCGCCCAGCCCCCAGCCGGACTATGGGAAGTACGGCAAGGGGGCGATGGGTGGCGGCGGCGTCAATCTGGTGGCAGGCAGACCCAGGGAGCCGCCCAAGGCGCTGACCAATGCCCACAACTCACCGCCGGAGCTGGTCAACGGTGGGATGGCCGACGACGGCAGTGGCAGCTGCAGTGGCAGCGGCAGCGGCAGCGGCAGCGTGGGCGCTGAGACCAAGTCCAGCGATGGGCAGTCGGAGCAGTCGCAGTCGTCATCCTCCTCCTCGCCGAGTGCCAACATCCCGCTGATGCGCATCGTGCAGTCGGTGAAGCATACGAAGAAGCGCGGGGGCCAGGCCCTCAAGGAGGGGTGGCTGGTCCACTTTACCTCCCTGGACAAGGCCGTGAAGCGCTACTACTGGCGCCTCGACTCGAAGACCGTCACGCTGTTCGTCTCGGAGCAGGGCAGCAAGTACCACAAGGAGCTGCCGCTGGCGGAGCTCCTCTCCATTGAGACGCATCGCGATCCGCGGCCCGACTCCAACTACTGCTTCGAGCTGTGCATGCCCAGCCTCAGCTACTATGTCGGCCAGGACCCGCTCGTGGGCGCCAAGGAGGAGCAGGCGGTGCGCCTGCCACCCCCCGACAGCGGCATTGGCAGCGACATTGCCAAGAGCTGGGAGACGAGCATCCGGCAGGCCTTTATGCATGTCAACAATACACGTGAGTAGTGGCAGGACCTCTAGCTACACCCTACTGACTCTTGCCCAATCCTTTAATAGAATGCTGTGAATCGGAGGAGCAGGTGCAGGACATGGGCCAGCTGTATCAGATCTTTCCCGATGAGGTGCTGGGCTCCGGGCAGTTCGGCGTCGTCTATGGCGGCGTGCACAAGAAGACGAAGCGCGAGGTGGCCATCAAGGTGATCGACAAGCTGAGGTTCCCCACCAAGCAGGAGGCGCAGCTGAAGAACGAGGTGGCCATTCTGCAGAACATTTGCCACTGCGGCGTCGTCAATCTGGAGCGCATGTTCGAGACGCCCGAGCGCATCTTTGTCGTCATGGAGAAGCTCAAGGGGGACATGCTCGAGATGATTCTGTCGCATACGCGCGGCCGCCTCAGCGAGCGTGTGACAAAGTTTCTCATCACCCAAATCCTGATTGCCCTCAAGTACCTGCACTCGCAGAACATTGTCCACTGTGACCTCAAGCCGGAGAATGTGCTGCTCTCCTCGGACGCTGAGTTCCCGCAGGTGAAGCTCTGCGACTTTGGGTATGCGCGCATCATTGGCGAGAAGTCCTTCCGCCGCTCGGTGGTGGGCACGCCCGCCTATCTGGCGCCCGAAGTGCTGCGGAACAAGGGCTACAATCGATCGCTGGACATGTGGAGTGTGGGCGTGATCATATATGTGAGTTTGAGCGGCACATTTCCCTTCAACGAGGAGGAGGACATCAATGATCAAATACAGAATGCCGCCTTTATGTATCCACCGAATCCCTGGAAAGAGATCTCTTCCAATGGTGAGTGGAAACTGACTTTGCTGACCGATTTTTGTCATATTTCCTTCCTTTCCCTTTCTTCCCAGCCATTGATCTGATCAACAACCTGCTGCAGGTGAAGCAGCGCAAGCGCTACACCGTGGACAAGAGCCTGCTGCACTACTGGCTGCAGGACAAGCAAACCTACCGAGACCTGCGCACCCTGGAGACGCAGGTGGGCGGCGGACGCTATCTCACCCACGAGGCAGATGACATACGCTGGGACTGTGCGGGTGACATGTGACCTGGTTGCGCGCGTAACCCCAACCCCCTACCGACCACCGAGAGTTATCCAGCGGCAGGCAACTGCGCCGACTGCCATCGTCTGTCCGAGAACTCGCCCAAAGTGGAGGCCATCAGCGGCAAGGCGCTGAAGTGGGTGCGTTTCCATCTCTGTCGCCACATCAAATAGGGAGCACCTCAGCAGCAGCAGCAGCAGTCCACCAAGTTTCAGCGTGCACTTGGAGAAAATTGTGCCCACAATGATGTGCGTTTTTCTCTTTGAGTGCACATTTATTTGTGCCGCACTCTCGATGTTTTCTCTCTCTCTCTCTCTCGCCTAGACTTGTAAGTTTTCCCTCTCGCTGCTGCTTCTATACGAAGAAACTCTCTGTGCTAAATTTTCCTCTAGAATCAAAATTAGTCGATAGCTTTAACTTTGTTAACCACCCTAATGGCAACTCTTATGAATAACACAAGTACATCAAATATACATACAAAATACATGCGCGTATTCATCAATAATAAAAGATAAATCACACAAGAGCCCACAAAGCACACAAATCGAATGGAAGAGAAAAGAGAAGAGAAGAAACTGCTGCTGAATGCAACAGTAAACAGTACAGTATAGACGCCGGCAACGTTGCGACGTTTGCTATGTGCATGGGAACAGATCTCGGGCAGCGCAGTCGTCAGTTCGTGTGCCTTTGCACTGCGAAACAACTTCGTATGGCATATGTAGAATTGCTCCGCTGCCGCAGCGCAGCGGCAGAGAAGCAAGAAACGTTTTTGACTTCGTGTCTGTGTTGTGTGTGCATACAAATGCACTAAGGCACGTGAGTGTCTGCGTGCCATCACCTGCATTTGAGTGCTGTCTCGCGTCTCACTCTCACTCATCTGTGCATTACAATGCACAGTAATTGAAGGTAACTCAAGGGTATATTGATTCTGTAGAGAGTAGCAGATGGAAGAAAGCAATAAAAGATCTACGACAGTTAGAGTATCGTATGAATATCACCATTTATGAGCGTTCGACAAATCTACCCACACTCGGAGTGAATACAAAGCTTCCCCAAGCTCGCTGGCTTGCAACGGCTGACACCCTTTTTGGAGCACAGATGTGACTGTGAGTTTTCCCCGTTCCACGATTGCCAGCAGTAGTTTCAAGACATTCCAAACGAAAAGATGCAACTATTTCCGCTCAATTTCTTCCTTCTATTTGCGCTAAGCCCGAGAGATTGGGTGGAGACAGCTACAAGCAAGGAATCCGATGACTTTACCACGCCCAGTCCCGCCTGGATTGAGTACCAGCGCATTCGCTTCAGTTTAGGTCCAGGAGATCCGAATATTTTAACTAGTGCTCAGATTATGGGCAGCTCCACCCAGTCACCCATTCAGGCAGTGACCCCCAAGGTGGAGACCACATCCCGCCGACACTCGTCGCATTCGACAGAGAACAATTTGGAGGAGGAGACCACAGAAACACCGGCAGACAGCGGGGAAGGAGAGAACGAGAGCGGCGACATTGAGTTGCCCAGCATGCACGGCTTCCTCAAGTTTCTAAAATCCATGCAGAACAGTTGGATCAAGAAGTCAGCACTCAGCATTGAGAAGAAGATCAAACTTCTGCAGAACCTTCGCGACAATCTCATGCGGATGATTGGTGAGTTTTTCATGTTTATCTCCAGCCGACGCTGACTTTCTCCCACTCTGCCACAGAGCAACATTTCGCGGTGCTGTGGCAGCCAACGGAGCGAAGGAGGCGCAGGCGTCGCGGCCTGATGGACGAGGCAGCAATTGACTTCCCACCCGAAACAGCCATCTTGAGCATTAATTTCCTCACATTCGCTGTGTTCCTCATCAAGCTGGTTATGGTAGGTATCTTTCTATATTTTAATGCTTAGTCCGGACCGTGAAGTGTCTTTAATCTTTCAGCAAGTGGTGAAGATTGTTAAGAGCAAGCATTACACATTGTCCGGCTTCAGCTTTAATCGTCAGGTGGTGAAAAATACCTAGAACTAAAGAAGGCTATTTAGAATTAAATCAATTAAACTCTTTTCTGAAAATGTTTGAAGTCCTATTTTGAAATAAACGGTCCTAGTTAAACAGCCTGGCAGCACTACCGTCAGTGGTAAGCAGTGCTGCTAGATCACTGAAAATAGATGCGCTGTCGATAGGTTTCGATAACAATCAGGTTTTATTCATTTCAAATGTCCCTCCTGAAATGTATGTCTTTTCCGTATTGAATTTTCTATCTCTCTTGAGAGATTATCCTTATTTTGTAAGCAATCCAATAAAAAAAGGCATGAAAAGTTTCCAATCTGGTTAATAATTGTTTCATAAATCTGATAAAAATATAGTTTTAGTGCTGAGGTTCCCAACTAGCTAGTAATATTAAATAGAACATCAAAACAGACAAAAATGATTTAAGATTTACGGTATATTATGAAAATGAGAAGGTATATTTCGGTATATTTCTGAGGGCCGTGCGGTATTTTATCGATAAATCCGCGGTCACACGTGCAGCGGTTTATTTACCTGCAGATTTTTGAAACAAAATAACATTAAAATGGACGATAACACCGTAGTTGAGACTGTTTGTAGCCACCAACACGATGAGCAGCCCATACTGCGTAAGTCACAATCTCTCCAGAACTCTGAGCAATGTAACAACGCCCGTGGCAGTTAAATTTCAGAATGGCTCTTTGGGCGGCATAGCGGACTTCACTCTCGTGGAGAGCAAAAAGAATAAGCGGAAGCATGCTGCAGTCGTGGCCGGCGAAGAGTTGTATACTGGCGAACTGGAGGATAGCCAGCAGTTTGACACGTACATCTGCTTGCGCAACAAAAGCACCAACAAGGTGCAAGTCATTCCCGTGCAGCAGGCGCTGCTGTCCAACAACGTCTACCGGGAGCTGGCCAAGAAGGAGAAGGAAAAGGTGCTGCCAATACTGACCAAGGAGCATGCGGCCAAGAAGCTGCTGAAGGAGTTTGGCGGCCGCAAGGCCTCGCGACTCGTGGACAATCGCGAAAAGATGATGGTCAATGTGGAGGTGGTGCGCCAGGACCTAGACGAAACTGTGCAGGGCGGCGCACAGAACGAGGATGGAGAGGACGACGACACACTGGCGGACGTGAACACCAGCAACAAGGAGTACTTAGCCAGCATAGTGCCCAAGTTTGACCAAACAGCGACAAAGATCAGTGAGGTCTTCGACGTGGAGGATGTGGTGCCGGCCAACCTGCTGCAGAGGCTCGATGAGGAGGCCAAGGTGGTGTACGCCACGCCGCTGGACCAGCTGCCGTAAGTACAGTACTCCCATTTAGACTTGTAATAATGTCTCGGAGTAACCCAACTTCTTTCCGCCGCAGCATTGAGTCGGAGTATCTGCGCGGTTGCCTGAAGGCAATTCAGGACAAAGAGATAACCTCAAAGCAGGACTTTCTGAACATTAAGCTGATCATCTACATGGACGCACTGCAGTCGCTGATAGCACTGCGCTCCCGCCAAATGAAGCGCGTGGAGCTGTCGCGCATCACGGAGAAGATCGAGAATGACATACGGCACCGCTTCGAGGATCCCAATGTGGCCAAGAGCTGCACGCGCACCAACTACAGCACGGAGAAGGCGCTCACCCACTTCATTGTGCTGGCCCTGCTCATCAGCGACAAGCACGAGGTCGATGTGAATGTGCTCTCCCGCACGCTGCGCACCACCAAGGAGCGCATCAAGTCCTACGCCCACATAGTCAATGCCCGGCCCAAGGCCCGCTCGGATGTGCTCACTCTGCGCCTGCCCAGCACCGTGCCGGCCCTGGCAAAAGCCCGAAGCTTTCAACGCAGGAAGTAGGCGGACACCCTGTTCGGCATCGATTAAACAACTTCTAGGTGGCCGAACCGCTCAAGGTCGTCACAATAAAGTTTATTTTTACATTACTTTATTTATTGATTTAAATTGAAGAATATCTAGAGGCGCGTACACCTCCAACACGTTCAGGATGGCGTGCGCCAAAATCGAGTAAACATAATGCTGATAAGTGTGTCCTCTCCATTTGAAATATTCATTGCCGAGGCCGAGGCCGAGTCCGAGTCCTGGTCCGGGCTGCGTTCGTGTTTCTGTCCTTGTTTCTCTGTCTGTTCTGGAAATATTATTTACGTCGGCAATCTTGTTAATCCCTCCCCCTTATTAGTTAGTTGTTTGTGTGTTGCTTCTATGTTGCTTCTTGGTTGGCATTCGCATCCGCGAATCGCGTCTAAACGGCCAGGCCAAAGACGGACACAATGCAGTACATGGTCTTGTTCTCCCAGCGCACGGTGCAGCTGCCGTCTGTGTCGTTGTTCCAGTAGCAGGAACTGGCTGTGTGCAGTCCGGCTCCGTTCTTCTGCATAATCATGGCCGTGACAATGTACTTGTAGGGCTTCTGCTCCTTGGTGAGCACCGTCAGGCAGTTTTCCACCACCTGGCCGGTCCAGTTGTTCACCTTGTCGTGCTGGTAAGCATTGCCCCCGATGGTCGTCTCGATGGCCTCCTTAATCGTCTTGCTCACATCATCCACAATGAACTGGCTTTCTTCGCGTGAGTCATCCATCTTTGTTTCGGCTTGCAACTGGTCCAATCAGTCGAATTTTATATTTAAATTTTTGTAAAATTTATCTAGCTTGTTTGTTTCACTCGTTGTGCGCGCGCTTTTGTTTCGTAGTCGACGCTTTCATTGGAAAATGAAATTTGCTTCAAGAATTTTTTTGTTGTGTCTGAAAGGGATGTCGAAGTTACTTTGTTGTTAGATTTCGGTGTTTGCCAAATACGGTTACACTAGGAGCATATCGATATATATTTGAGGATTTTATCTAAGATTGTATTTGTTTTGGCGAAAATATAAATAAGGTATTTTACGTGCCATTGACAGAATGGTAACTATTTTTGTATAATCTTGTCAGTTTACTGATTTCCTCAGTAATTATAAGATGATAATGCTGTTATCGATACTATCGATATTTTTACCTACAACAGCCAAGATCCTGAAATTTCCTTAAATTCAATAAAAACTATAATTTAATTACATTTAAGCCTAAATAAGGAAATGTGAGGCATACAACTACTTGTAGACCAACAGCTTACAGCATAATAGCCCAAAAATGCCCACCGATATTGCTTCGATTAGAAAATAACCAAATTAAGTAAATAAGGTAACTTTATTCGTACGTACAAATGTTCATATGTATGTATGTATGTATGTATGTGTCGTCTTCTTGCATAGATTTGGAGGGTCTTTTTCTAAACAGTTACAAACACCGTTAGCATGGCCACATCTGTCTCCCTGGCTGATCGAATTAACTTTCATACAGTGATCACTCTCTATCTAGAATCTAGAGGCAGCTGATTGTGCCACTTTAGTTCGATTTCACATTCTTCTTTTGTAAACAGAATGGAAGTGCAGAGCCTTTTAAATAATACAAAGGCCCCCGCTGTTGCTGTTGCTGCTGTTGGTGTGGTTTTCCGCTCTTCCTGCTTCCGCTTTGCTTGTGTATTTATCAGGTGGTTATCATTGTGGTTATAGATTATGTTTAACTATCGACTAGCGTTCTTCATCTGAGTAGCCAACCAGTCGAGTCCCTCGTAGAGTCCATCGCCGTTGGAAGCACACGTCGCCTGAATGTACCAGTCGTGATTTCTAAGCGTGTGCAAACCGAGCCTGTTGCCAATTTCGGTCGCATTCATTGCATTTGGTATATCCTAGAAAGATTTAAGAACAAAAGAGAATTATTCGACGATTATCGAAAATGGAAATCAATTGTTACATCAGTGCCGCCTTGAATAATCGCAGTATGAATCATAACAAAAAGTCATTGACATCATCTAGGTGTGGGCTCTGATGCACAAGCTTACCTGTTTGTTGGCAAATATAAGCAAGACTCGCAGATCGTGTGCCTCTAGGATGTGCATCAATTCCTCTCTCGCCTCATCGATACGATCTCGGTCATTGCTGTCCACAACGAAGATCAGACCCTTTGATTTGAAGAGAATTAATCAACACTTAAGTTATCCGTTATCCGAGACGCCGGTACTTACTTGTGTATTCACGAAGTAATGCTTCCACAATGTACGAATTTTGACTTGACCGCCCACATCCCACACTGTAAAGTTAATATTCTTGTACTCAACAGTCTCCACATTGAAACCTACAAAGAGTGCATAGAAAACAGATTGAGTAACGAGAATATTTAAGCTTGGCAGCTAATTTTACTTACCAATTGTGGGTATTGTTGAAATAATTTCACCCAACTTGAGTTTGTACAGAATTGTGGTTTTACCAGCGTTATCCAAACCGACCATCAATATTCTTACTTCTGCTTTGGCAAAGAGACCATTAAACAGATTGGCGAATATATTACCCATAGTTGCTTGCTTGATGGTCTTCTTGCTTGGCTTTTGATTTATTACAAGTTCAAATCCGAGCTGGCACCCCGACTAGAATTATCTGTAAGTAATTAATTATAATAAATTAATTGATATTGCTTGAAGGACTCTACTTATCGGTGCTGCCCCGGTAGCTCTTACTTGCGACTGGATTTGAATGTTCGACAACAGCAACTGCATCGAATTTGTTTACTGTCTTTTGTTTTGGTCGAATCGTTCGCCACAAGCTGACGTGTTGATAACTGAGTCATAACAATTCGCTTATGAAATTGAGTTCCCGTGTCATTTAATTGGACAAATCGCTTACCAGTGCCCTGCGCATCTGCGGTTAGTCGTTGGATCGCAGCTAACATACAAATTGTTTAACGATTTCCTGCGAATATCATCCCTGCTGTGCTAGTTTGCAGGCCCGAAGAATTACCAATATCGATATCTTTCGCTCGTTGAATTTTTAAAGCATATTAATGTAGCTGTAAAACTTCCCTATAATTTTACATAGTTTGATATAAACTCTCCAGAAATATTATTTCTTAAAGCGATTTGAGTTGGTCCCCCCAAAGTTTATTTGCAATTTACACCCACAGTCCCGTAGAAATAACTTGGCACACGCCAGACATTAGGGCATTTCCAACTTGAGGTGTGACGTGATATTGAGAAATGGAAACATCAGCTGCGAAATTGCTGAGAAATATAAAAAGGTTTCATACAAATGTTTCCCACTAATTTATTCAATTTTTCCTTTTTTTTCGCCAGAAGTATCTTGAGTGACTTTAAAAATTTCATGCTCTGGCCTTTTCATGGCCTGAAATTATTTTATTATAAATGATCTTTCTTACTGCAGATCATAATAATGTCCATTTTAATAAATTTCTAAAATAATATTGGTACAGAATTATATTTAATTTTAGTTAGAGTGGAGCTTTCCGTGGCAAATGCCGCAATAAATGAATAATATGTGTCCTCCTAATCACCCTTCAGCGTCTGAATGTACTTTCCATTTTGCCATTTGTGGGCAGAATTTTATTGCAGTAGCAACACAATCTCCCGAATACTCACGAACCATTAAAATTTGTTTCATAATCAGTTTGTAAACATCTTCAGAAAGAACCGGCGAATTTTTATCAATATCATAATATATTTGAATCGAATGATACACAAGAGAAAAAAATGAAAGGTAGACAGACATGCTGCAGAAGGAGTGCCTTCATATTTATGTATGTAATGTACTCGGATCTCTAAAAATATCATGATTAAAAATATGTACATAATGGCTAAGAGTTGATGGGAATACTGCTTCAAGGGCAATTGTTTCATGAGTTTGGGGATCGTGTTACAATATTTAAATCAGATTATTTTTTATCAAATATGAGTTCATTAAAGACAGACAGACAGAGTTAATGTTTTCTTGTTTCATTTATTTCACTCGCGAAAGGAGTGAAAAAGTCAATTGTTTAACTATATCATCCGCATTTTCGGTGTGTTTGTGTTTTATATATTTGATTAATCTAGTGATGTTGTTTTTGTCTTAAAAACGACGACGCCCCCATGGGGCATTGTTTCCTCCGCCATTATTTCCACGCTGATTGCCACCTTGGTTCATATTGTTAGCTCCAAATTCAAAAGCGAATGAGTCCTATTAGAGTAAAGAAGATATAATTGTTTAATAAGAGAGAGAGTCCCTGAGTGCCATGCACGTACCTGATTGTTGGGTCCAGAGTTATTCCCAGTCATGGTTGAATTGTTATTGTTTCCTGATGAGCAACATAATTTCATTTAAACATTAATTTATTAACTTCTTTTGATTTATTTCTTACCTCTAAACAGTTCGAACGGAGAATTGCTATTGCCTCCGAAATTGTCAAACCCAGAGTCATTGACGCCGAAGCCCTCCTGCTGGTCGAGCAGCGAATTCAGCTGCTGTGCCTGTATGAACAATGTGTTCTCCTGCTGGCGGCGACGCATTTCCTCCTCCTGGCGCGACATGCGTGTCTGCATCTCGTTCTGATGGCGACGCATAGTCTCCTCGTCACGCTTGCGCATTTCCTCGGCCTGCTTCTCGCGCATTTCCCGTTCCAGCTTCTTGCGTTCATTGTCCACTTCGCGCTTTCTCAGCTCTAAGGGTAATACACACAACACACTATTAGGGCAAAGGTATATCATATATATTGGCCATGATCTGACACGATCATTGCCACGCCTAACGAAGAAGAAAAAGCTCGTGGACGACAACCAAACATCTTTCAGAGAATCTTTCCCACAAGCCAAACACATACCCTTGGAACAACAGCTTTTGCTTCAAAGAAACATTTGCCACCACCTCCCCCACTTTTAGTAGAAGAAAAGTTTGCTTAGATCTTGAATAACTTAACAATTTCAGCAGCTATCAGGCCTGGAACATTATAATATCAAAGTTACGTACAAGTATCATACATTCATTGAATGGTTTACTCCACAGAAATGTTCCCATAAACGAGTGGCTACAAAATAGAGCCCATTCTCGATGCAAAATCATGTGCTTGTCTTATGTTTTTGATAGTCACTCGTAAACGTCGAAAATAAGAGGAAGGAGTCATTTCTAGTTTTGAATTTTAACGCAGATTTGCGCAGTTGTCTGCTCCTCGAGTAAGTGGATCCATGTCGGTGAGATATAATCCTTAAAAAATCGTATCATAAGTTAAATGATTTTAAGGTTTCAGATAATGCGCCCTAAGATACATAAAATCAATGATTTTTGTGTGTTTGTAGCTGAATTCACGGAAACACATTAGAGAAAACTAGAAGATATTCGTAACTCTACATTTCGAAATCAAAAACAAATATATTATAAATATTTCGCATCAGAAGCACACACAAACAAATCAGCTGTAAATGCTCATTCTGCGTTATTGCGTTTCCGTATATCGATAACAGTGGAACAGTGGAATCAACCTCATTCTGCCAAAATGGGGAATGTTTTGGTATCGGAACAGTAATTTAAAATAAAGTTGGATAATTCCATATTCTATGTCCTTGTGGGACACCCAGAACCCTGTTGCATGTTGCAACAATCTAACTGCACAGAGAAATTTTTATAATATAATACGCCCACCCATGGGCCGTATATTTAGACCAAAGACTTGTTCTAATCTAAATTAAAAGTGAGAGAAACACGGAGAGTATACATGACAAAAAGACAGGAAAAAAGGTCTTGCCATGCACAGGGCAACCAAGTGCGAGTCGAGAAGATTGGAACAAATAATTTATGGAAAGCTTCGGCCCACCCGAAGTTTTTTTGTTTTGTGGTTTTAATCACAAACCAACCCACCCACCAATGTGATAATACTGACCTTGACGCAGGAGCTCAGTCTCTTGCTCATAGCGAGCGTACTCCATCTGAGCATCCAGCTTATCTTCTTCCATTTTGAGCTCACGCTTAAGGGCATCCTGCTTGGTCTTGTAGAGATCGTGCAGCTGCTTCCAGCGGGTGCCGTACTCGTGCTCAAACGAATTGAGATCTGCAAAGCGAGGACCAACGCTGCGCTCCTGATTGAACTCCTGCAGCTTCTTGTTGAGGGCCTTCTCGGGCAGACCATCGTTATCGTCATTCACGTCCAAGGGCTCCACCAGGCAGGGACGCAGCGAGGCAGTCAAAAAGAAGCATTTCTCATTGCACAAACGCAGACAGGCGCTGGCAGAAGACTTCTTGGCAAACTCAACGATACCCTCGCCCATATGCTTGCCGCGATCATCGACGGTTATGCTGGCCCGTTCGAGGGGACCGAATATCTCGAAACATTTATACAGCAACTCATTGGAGACGAATGGCGTAAGGTTGCTCACGCGCAGTATGGTTGCATTGGGTGCGAAACGTACGCGCAGCTGGCGACCTTTGCGAATGGAACCGTCCAAGGCGCGCTTGGCCTTCTCGGCATTCACGTGATAATCGACCTTAAGGAAGGTGAAGTTCTTGTCAATGTTGGAGAAGATTTCGCCAATTTCGCCGAATGGCTTGAACATTTCGCGCAGCTCATTGTCAGTGATGTCGGCGGTGAGATTGCCAACATACAGACGATTGCGGCCAGAGAACTTGGTCTCCTCGGGCACCTCCACGGGTGGCAGTTCTAGTGTGGGTCCAGCAATGGCCCGCAGACGTTGGCCAATAAAGAACTCATCCCCAGCGCCGGGGCCGCCGCCACCACCACCGCGTGGACCGCCACCACCGCCCATCATGCTCATGTTGGGTCCGCCTTGACCGCCGCCCATACGTTGACCGCCGCCAGCTCGATTACCGCGATCACGTTGCTGCTGTTGCTGCTGCTGTCCACGTCCACCTCCACCTCCGCCGCCGCCTCCCTGGTGATTGCCACCACCTCCCGGATGATTGTTACCACCTCCCATATGATTTCCGCCACCTCCTTGAAGATTGCTGCCTCCTCCTTGATGAATGTTACCGCCTCCTTGATAATTGTTACCGCCTCCGGGATAATTGTTACCGGCTCCTTGATGATTACCGCCGCCGCCACCAACACCACCACCTCCTTGGTTATTGCCACCGGCTCGAGGACCACCGCGGAAACCACCTTGCCCTTGTCCTTGACCCTGCCCTGGACCTTGGTTTGCATTTGGAGCTGCTGCCTGCTGAATTGCAGCCACAGATTCATTAACTTTCTCAGCGACATTTGCGACGTCCGGCTTCACTGCTTCATTAGTTGTTGGCTTTTGCTATATGTGTATTTTATATAATTTCAAATCAGTATAAGAAGAATGATGAAAAGGCTGTGGAAGATATGCACGGATATGTCTGGGTCCCCCCCAATCTGCAGTGCTTCTCGTCCCCCCCGGAGAAGAACGATTCAATTAGCAGCTAAGGGAACACACAACTTTACGTTCTGGGGGACTGGAACTGGCACTGCAGAGGTGGATTGCATCCAGTCAGTATGTTTTTTATAGGGTAGAGGTAGAATATCTAAAATATAAAAATCTCCTGTCCCAATTTTTGTGATTAAATTCCTCCGAATCGGCTCGACCGATTTTTGTGAAAATGTTTTTTTGTGTTTATATACTAGTTTGGAGAGTCGGTCTTGTGTGTTGCAATAAATAATGCCAGCTAGGGGCAAGGTGTGCCATTGTGGCCGTCGAATAAATTAAGCAAGAATCATGTCCATTTTTAGAACAGATAGAACAAGCGAATAAATGGAAATAAACAATGCACCGGTTCGTCATTGATTATTGAAAATACCGCTCATCCGAAAGTGGTGATTGATGGCAAGGACACAGCATGGCTATGTAATGGCACAATATTAATAATTATAAAGTTATTAAGAAAGTATCGAGGCCACCAATTATTTGCTCCCAAGCATTGTAAACATTTATATTTTGGCTGAAGACGGACTGACACATGGTGTATATGGTTATAAAAAATCGTTATTTAATAAAATACAGAATCCCTAACCCTTAACCCCAAACCACATCAAAAAAGAATACGTTTTTTACCCTTTTAAAGGACAGCCTTTTTCACCTTTTACAGAAATTAGCATTATTGGCGTCCCTTTAACCACATTAAATATAGTACGTCCCAAAACATCATTCTAAGATTCATTTCTTTTAAGAAAAACGTATGTAAACGTTCGCTCGACTTTCATAAAACATTTCCCAGCTAAAAAAAATACATGTAAAACCACGCATAGGGTATACAACATTCGGCCAGTTCACATAAACTCTTGTTTTTGTTGCTCTTTCCCTGAAGTCTTGGTAAACATTCAATAAAACCCCGCTAGTTGGGCGACAGTGTTGGGTAACTGGCTGGCACTTGTCATCAGAATGGTGTTGCCACGTTGGAAAATAAATAAATATGAATTTATAAACAAATTGTATACATGACACCGGACACATAGTGCCAGGCAGCCCCATGTAGCTGGTGATTAAGTCTGCGAAAAGTCTCCGCACCCATTACAAAGTCGGGATCACCATTCATAATTGATGATCCATACAAAAAAAAAAAACAAACAAGTTTATCGCTTCGAAATTCCACATCAACCATAAATTGTTGAACCTCAAAAAGTGTTCTCCTGAACACAATGACTCTGTAAAATGTGGATATAAGACATTCACATTCACTTTTAGATGGCCAGCCAATAGGCCTTTCCCAACCAAAAAATGAAATATAATTTATGCATGTACATGTTTATGTACATTTCTAGGCATTCAAAAAGTGCGTAAGGCAACTTTTGTTTTAATAAGAACAATGAACTTTATATTGTTGAAACCCAAGTTGTCAATAAAAATGGTAATTAATGCTCAAAATGCTGACAATACATGCACAAGTTGCTTGCACAGGTACACACATACATACATGTATGTATTTGTATGTATGCATTAAGCTAAATTTTCTTCATCTTGCAGCCCCGTATCGCACCCGTTGCATTTATTTTTTCTTTTAGATACATAAACCCATTTATGTGTGGTGTACATACATACAAGAGATGGGAGGAGATCTTCTGATCAGTTTTTCACTTACATTTGCATTTGCGTTATTTGGACCCTGGACATTTTGTCTATTTTGGTTTCCTCCACGGCGATTGCGATTGCCGCCGAATCCACCCTTGTTTCCAAAATTCTTGTTCTGATTCTGACCAGCGCCGCCGCCGCCGCCACCACCGGCTGGACCACCGCCATTCTGGTTGTTTGCGCCACCGAATCGTGCCTTCTTTTCGGCTGGACTGCCATCGGGGCCATTATTTGGCTTGGGCGCAGTGTGCTTCCCAATTAATTTATTGGGCGGATTGTTAACCCGCGGCTGTCGTTGCGGCAACGGTGTAGCCCTTTGGGGACTATCCAAACTTATGGCTTCCATTTTTTAATTATTTTCACGACGAGAAAAAACACAATCTAAAAATTGCACAATATATTTTTTTTGTTTTAGACACAGTATGACCTTGGGTTTAATAAAATCACATATACCGCCTGCCCCTGTGGCATATACCAAAACATACCTTTAATTTTCAAAATATACCGCAAAAATTCCGAGCAATTCAGATTCCTCAATTATAATAAATTAAATTTAAAAAAATACTAATATTAGTTTTTTTTATTACTATCTATTAATTTCAGCACAGAACATATAATTTAATGCGATCGATTTAATTGGCTTCTTTAATCTAGTCTTGTCTTAATTCTTTGATATCTTTGATTCTTTGATCCTTTTGCAGCACACAATCAGTAACGATAGCCGATAACTTTCGATTTCCAAGGCCGAACAAAAGCGAATCTTTGTTTTTTTAATGCGATTTTAAGCAGAAAAATATTCCAAAATGACAACCTTGCAAACAGAAACAGCATCTGGATCTGCTGCATCTGCATTTTCCAGCTCGGACACAGCCGCACTGGAGCGCGAGACAGAGCTGCAGGCCGAGGAGCAAGTCACATTCGAACAAATCTGGAATGAAACGCACAGAAAAGTGAGCAGCGGATGGATACGACAGAATGGGTTCAAAAGGGTATGTACAGAAAGTGTCACCAGAAGAAGCAATATAACATTCATTTGTAGATCTGCCTGCAATTCCCGGATGACTATTTGCCGCACAGCAATGCCATCAGCGTTAGCCTGAAGGAACTGCTGACTCCCGAGGACGTCAAGGTGTTCATTATGGCGGACACCACATACGGCAGCTGTTGCGTGGACGAGATAGCAGCAGCCCACGTGGAGGCAGACAGTGTTATCCACTTTGGCAACGCCTGCCAGAGCAAGGCCAGCCGCTTGCCTGTGCTCTACATGTACCCGCAGCTGCCGTTGGATGTGCCAAGGATGATGGAGACGCTGACCGCCTCGCTACAGGCCGAGTGCAAGGAGCGTGTGGTGTGTGTTTATCTGGACATTGGCTATCACCATTTGCGCGATCAGCTGGGCGAGGAGAGTAGTCTCTACAAACAGCTCACGGAGGCACTGCAGCCGAAAGAACTCGTTCTGGAGGTGTACCCGCTGGCCGAGGAGGAAGCGGATGCCTCCAAGCAGCATCCAAAGTCGGCCAGCGAGCGCATCTGCTTATTCGTGGGCAACGATAACCAACGCTTTGCGAATCTCTCTCTGACCGCGCCGGCGCTCCAGTGGCACATCTTCGACGGAGCCAGCGGCACGCTCAGCGCAAAGAATCCCCTGACCGCGCAGTACATACGCAGGCGCTACTTCTACATTGAGAAGTGCAAGGATGCGCAGACCCTGGGCCTGATTGTGGCCACCCTGACGGCTGAGGGGTACCTCGATGTGGTCGCACGCCTCCAGGCCATGGCCAAAGGGCGGGGCATCAAGACGCAACTGATATCCGTGGGTCGCATCAATCCGGCAAAGCTGGCCAACTTCCTGGAGATCGATTGCTTCGTGCTGATCGGCTGCCCCTTCAACAACATGTACAACTCCAAGGACTACTACAAGCCGATTGTGTCCGTCTTTGAGGCCGAAATGGCGCTGAATCCCGCCTGGCACATGAAGTACCCCGAGGCGTATGTGACGGATTTCAAGGAGCTGCTGCCCGCGGGACGCAGCTTCCTGGCCTACGATGAGCAGGCGGTGCCCGAGCATGATGTGAGTTTGGTCAGCGGTCGCATGCGGGGCGCAGCCAACGCGTCGCTCGAGACAGCGGACGACCCGGCCTCGTTGGCTGTGGCGACACAAGCCAAAATGGCGCTGATGACCACCAACACGGGGCTCACGTTCGAGGATCGTACCTGGCAGGGCCTGGATCCGGCACTGGGACAGACGGAGCCAGCAGAGCTGCAGCCCGGCCTCAGTGGCATTCCAATCAAATATTCCCATCAATAAATGAAGCTTCAAATGGATCGTAATTGTAGATATCTTTCGGTTTACTTTACTGTTTCTTTTAGCATGAAATTGTTCTTGGATTAAGCTACGCGGTTGGATTAGACCCTCAACCAGTACATGGAGGAGCGGATTCTGTTATAGTCGGGCAGATTCTCGACGGGTCCGACAGCGGCAACGGCCGGGCATCTGTCGTAGATATACTTCATGGCCACATCGCGCACATTCGACACGCTCACGTTGTCGATACGCTGCTCCAGCTCGTGCAGTGGTATGCGACGATTGTAGCACAGAATCTGACGGCCAATGTCCTCGCAAATGGGTGTGGTGCCGTCCAGCTGCAGCAGCATGTTGGTCTTGAGCAGATTCTTGGCACGCTCCACCTCCGCCTCGGTGACCATGGTGCACAGGCGCATCCACTCTGTCTGAATGTTGAAGATCATGTCCTGCCAATGGGATAATTTGCGTTAGAGCTGGAGAGATGGGTTACGTTCTGTGGCTTGGGCTTACCTCACACTGCAGAGGATCGCACACGAAGTAAATGCCCCAGAGACCGGTGTCCTTGTAGCACGTATTGAACGACTGGAAGCTGTGGCACAGATCTGAAAATGGAAGCGTTAACACGGGCCTCTACTTTCACTCTTTTCTACTCACTATCCTCTGCGCTGGCACGAGCCAAGTTGGAGGCATTGTTGGCACCACCGCCCTGAGAGCGATCCCAGGCACCCACCAAGGTGTTGGCCACCATCAGCGGGATGTTGTCCTGATCGGTCCAGCCGCAACCCTCAACGGCAACAGCCACATGGGCCAGGGGCAGGGAATCATCGCGCACGCGCACCTCAGAGCCGGTGAAGCGGCAGGGAGTAATCTCTGGTGGCAGTGTGCTAGCCTCCAGGCGGCCCAGGTTCGAGCCGGCCAGCTTGACCAAATCGTCGTGCTTGACGCCACCGGCGGCGGCCAGGACAATGCGCGAGGCCTTGTAGTGGGTCTGGATGTAGTCGGTCAAATCGGATTTGCCAATGGATCTGCGCAAAAGACAGCAAATTAGATGGCCCCAGAGGGGTTTCAGGGTTTCTGTTTTACGCACTGAATATTCTTGGTGGGTCCAAGGATGGTCTGGCCGAGAGGTGTGCCTTGGTAGGCGGTGGCATGCAGGTGATCGAATACCACCTCCTGCAGGTTGCTCTCAACCTCCTGCATCTCGCGCAGGATGACCGAACGCTCGCGTGCAATCTCAGCCTCGCCCAGCTTGGAGTTCTGGATAATGTCGGCCAGAATCTCAACGGCCTTGGGCACATCCTTCGACAAGCACTTGGCATAGAAGACGGTCTGCTCCCGAGACGTGTACGCATTCAGATGAGCGCCCAAATTCTCAACCTCCAGCTCCAGATCGGTCTGCGAGCGCTTGGCGGTGCCCTACAAAAAAATCACAAAAAAGGGTTCAGTTATGGAACGTAGTTTTTGTGTGGACAACGCGCACCTTGAAGGCCATGTGCTCCAGGAAGTGGGCAACACCGTTATTCCGCTCGTTCTCGGAACGGGAGCCAGCATCGATCCAGAGGCCGACGGTGGCGGTGGAGGCGCCAGAATCTTCGCTAGCAACGCGCAGACCATTGTCCAGCTTGGTGACCTGCGTGGCGGGTATGTTCAGCAGTGTCTTCTGCAGAGTGGCCGCCGACTTGTAGCGCTGTGGGCGCAAAAAAAAGATTAGTTAATAACCATAACCTCAAAGTACGTGCAACAACACAGATTTTTTCCACGGAAAAGTTGCTTATTTTCCGCCCATCAAACTGTGTGTGCCGTCCGGACACTGGGCAGGCACACCAGCTAGCCTGGTTATCCACACACAACACAAAAACAAGTGCAATTGCAGTCGTTGGGCATTGAAATTACGTAATTTGTATCCTGCTCCGCGTAATCGAAGGGGCAGTGCGACTTACCTTGATGAGGTCAACGCCTCGCAGGTATGAGCGCATATTCTGCGTTACTCCAAGAACACGCAATGCCATCGTTTTGTTATTATCGTTTAATTCTTATTAACTTAAAATTACTTAAACGTTTGCCTTCGGCGCAGATGAAAATTCACACACACACACTAGCTCACACTCATGCACAGGGTGGCGTAAGTTGGCTGCGCTCGAACAGCTGACAGGGCTGGATCAATACAATGCGCGGTGCTCAACACTGTTTTCCGAGAAAACTATAATTTTTGTTTTGTTGTCGGTTTTGTTGCGTTGCTCGAAAACATATAATTTGGATTATAAACGAAAAAGTAATACCCTTGGCCACAGCCTACTCAGTGTACGATGGCTGGCAATTTTTGGCAAAGCTCACATTCACAGCAGTGGATACTGGACAAGCAGGACTTGCTGCGTGAGCGTCAGCACGATTTGCTCTCCCTGAACGAGGACGAGTACCAAAAGGTGTTCATATTCTTCGCCAACGTAATACAGGTGCTAGGCGAGCAGCTGAAGCTGCGCCAGCAGGTAATAGCCACTGCCACGGTGTACTTCAAGCGTTTCTATGCGCGAAATTCACTAAAGAACATCGATCCGCTGCTGCTGGCGCCCACCTGCATACTGCTGGCCTCCAAGGTGGAGGAGTTTGGCGTCATATCCAACTCCCGACTGATCTCCATCTGCCAGTCGGCCATCAAGACCAAGTTCAGCTATGCGTACACGCAGGAGTTCCCCTACCGCACCAATCACATACTCGAGTGCGAGTTTTATCTGCTAGAGAATCTCGATTGCTGCCTGATTGTGTACCAGCCATACCGACCGCTGCTGCAGCTCGTGCAGGACATGGGCCAGGAGGATCAGCTGCTCACGCTCAGCTGGCGCATTGTCAACGACTCGCTGCGCACCGATGTGTGTTTGCTGTATCCGCCGTATCAGGTAAGAGCGGCAACTAAGACTCTTCCCTGCCTGCCACTCTGATACGCTGTTTTTTCTGCTTTCAGATTGCGATTGCCTGCCTGCAGATTGCTTGTGTTATACTCCAGAAGGACTCCACGAAGCAGTGGTTCGCCGAGCTCAATGTGGACCTCGACAAGGTGCAGGAGATTGTGCGCGCGATTGTCAATCTGTACGAAATGTGGAAGGACTGGAAGGAGAAGGACGAAATACAAATGCTGCTGTCCAAAATACCAAAGCCCAAGCCACCGCCACAGCGCTGATTAGTATTAGGTTTTCCCATTTTGTCAAATTTTCTTATATTTATAAATAATTCTAGAGCGAAATTTGTCAGAGATACTTGGACTGTCCGCGGGAGAACTTGCTGTTGAGGATCTTGGCCTTGTCCACAATCTGTTTGGTTTGATTGGAGTCAATCTTGTTGAGCTTCAGGTCCACATCGCGACTAAACGGACGTCGCTCCGCCTTTAGGCCAGCCGCAGCCAGTTCCTTCTCCTGCAAATAGACGCAAAGTATTAATTTAATTTATAAATTATTCCCCCTTTGCTGCTCACCTTCTCCTTTTGCTCCTTGCGCAGCTTCTTTTGGTGTATGGCGACCAGTGACTCGTCCCGCTTGTGTTTCTTTTTGTGCTTCTTGGCCATGCGCTCCTGTTCGTCGTCCCGCTGCTGCACATATCTCTCCTGTGCCATTTGCTCCAGCTCCTGGGAGCTGCAGGGCTTCGGCCCAGCCATGGCCGCCGCTGCCACACTCTGCGGCGTCTTTGTCCACTCGGAACGATCGCTGAAATCGGGCCGCTCCTTGCCCTGGTGAAAGGTGCGCTTGAGGTTGTTCAGCGCTGCCAGGCCACCCTTCAGGCCCACATCGGGCAGCTCCAGCATCCACTCCTCGCGCCCGTCCTTGTCATTGGTGGCGGGTCCCAGTCCGCCCCCCTGCAGCACAGACAGCTTGAGGGCCAGCGCACGCTCCTCGAGCTCCACTTGTGTGGCATTTGGCAGTGGGCCAAAGGTGCCACTCATGTCATCAGCATCAGCATCATCCTCCTCCCCGGCACTCTCTGCTGCTGCAGGGGAGACTGCTTGGGGCAGCATGGGGCCTATCATCTGTGGCGGTTCTGTCTGCACCTCCTGACGCAGATGCGGCGGCAGTGGGGCACCAAAGGCACCCTCTGGCTCTGCAGCAGGCGGCAGACTTGCAGAGATTATTGGCTTTAACGCAGGCAGCGGCTGTGGCAGCTCCTCCTCCCGCCTGCTGCGCTTCTTCTCCTTGTGGCGGCGCTTCTTTTCCTTTTTGTGTTTTTTTGACTTTTTGCTGGACTTTTTGTGCTTCCGCTTGCGCTCCTCGCTGGCACTGCTGCTGTCGCTGCTGCACTCATCGCTGGACATGGCTGCTGCTGCTGGCAAGAGAAAATAAAATCAAAATTATAAAACGAAAAGCAGGAAAAAAACACTCGCTGGGGGAGCTTGTTCTTTGCGCGGTTTCTGTATTGATTGTGACAACTTTTGTGCTTAAAATTAAACAACATAACGTGGAAGCGACGGGTCAAAGCAACTTAGTCGGTAAATGGCAGCCTCGGGAGCAATATGGAAAGGGAAAGAGAGAGTGTCTAAACGGCAAACGTCTTTTGGGCCTTGCGGTAGCTGTAGATCAGCGACTTGAAGACGCCCGCACTGGCAATGTTCTTCACCGATTGCGTCACACTGCTGCGCCACACAATGTCATTGACGGAGGCCTGCAGCACTTTGGGCAGCAGCGGGGACAGCGACAGATGTTCCACCACCTCGGGAAAGTCGCCACGGCTGGCCGCATTGCTTTGCAGTCGTCGCCGCAGCTCCTTGGGCATGCGACGCAAGTGCTGGGACGTGGCCAGGCGCGACTTGTCCTGCTCGAAAAGAATCGCCGGCTTGCGGGTGCCCGGCTCTTGGCCGTGCATATTGACGGCCAGGTACGGCTCCAGTCGGCTCATGGAGGGCTGGTAGAGGGCGAAGAACTCGGATATTTGGGGCGTCACAATGTTGTGCACCTTCTGCTTATTCTCGCCGAAGATCATGCGGAAGTCGCCCTTGTAGCTCAGCCCGGCAATGGCCAGGAACAGATCGTAGGCGGTGAATCGCTCGGGCAGCAGCAGCAGCGCCACCAGTAGGGCCGACAGCAGATTCTGGTCGAGCGCGGACTTCAGCAGGGGATTGTCATCAGGATTGACGAGATCTGTGACTGGCTTCTGCAGCCGCCCGGCTAGGTACAGATGCCGCCAGTGCTTCAGATCCTCGATCAGGCTCTCCTGCGACACCACGCCGTACTTGATGGTCAGGCCGAGATCTTGCAGCGGCACCAGCGTGTTGAAGTACACACCGGCACCCACCCGCTCCTGGTACCGGGCCACGAACCGCGGACCCAGATGCCGCAACGCCGAATAGTGGCTGGGATGGCGGTGAATGTTCTCCGCATGGAAGCCCAGTGAGTCGCGCACACAAAACACCAGATCGATGACACTATTCGGGGCCGGCTTCGCGCCGATCTCGCCGTAGCCGACCTGCTGCTTGACGCCCGATCCGTAGGCAAACATGTAGCTGACGCTGCCCAGGGGGAAGCGCGTCACCGTGCGCCTGTACAGGTCCATCATGGTGGAGTGGAGGGTGCGCAGCTGGTTAGAGAGGGACTAGTAAATGCTTTATAATTACGTTTTAGGTTCTTGCTTGGGCTGAGCGGTGAAGTTTGGGCTGCTTTTCCCGAAATAATCTCGCTGGCCGCCGGCACTGAAACAGTTTCTGTTTTTTCCGCCTGCCTGAGACAGCTGTTGTGTAGTGTTGCGTAGCGTCTGCACGAGTGCCAGGGCTGAAACAACAGAAGGCAGGCACATTTTAGTCGAATGTTTTATACGTTCACTAACATATTATTAGTCCAAATTGTTCACTATAAATTTCAAAACTGAACCGAATTCACTCTCGACCTCGTGCTGGTCTATTGTGCTGTGCGAGTAGTGCTTAATGCTTTTCCTTAAATTTTGCCGCCGTTAGTGTTGACAAACTCTAAATTATACATGTTTTTGTTTCTTTTGGATGAAATAAGAAGAAGAAAAACGCACATTTTTTGTACCACAGAACAGAACATTCACAACAATAGCGGCAACATGCAACGATCGTCGAAAAGAAAGCAGGAGGAACAGCCAGAGGAGGACAAGACGGAGCAGCCGTCACAAAAAGAAATGACACCAGCATCCGGCAACAGCACCATTGGCGATATAACGGATTTCACAACGGTACGATAGAGCACGGCCTCCTGTGTCCACATTATAACGGGTGTTTATTTGGTGTCTTTTTAGCAAGCCTTCAAAAATGTGGTGGCCGCCACACGTGCTTGCAATGCCTTTCCACAGGGCACCGCCCGCTCGCTGTATCTCAGCTATCCAGGGTATTCGCGTGTCATAGACGATCTGTCCCAGCGGCTGGTGGGTCTCATTGGAAACGTGGTGCAGGTCGAAGAAGTCAAGGGCGACATTAAAAAGTAAGCAAACTGCAAACGGGACTTCCTCCTCTTACAGTTTTTCTCCTTCGAAACAGATGCCAGATGGAGGAGCAGTTCGAGCTGGTGCAGGAGTGCAACGACATACTCTTCGAGCGCATTACAACGAATCTGGACATCAAGGCAGGTCAGCGGCGGAATCCGCACATGGTGCTGGAGACCCAGGTGGACGTACTGAGCTCCTCCCCGACGAAAGCGGCCAAGACGGAGACACCCAAGGCGGGAAGCTGGAACCGCTGGCCACCAACGCCGCAACGTAACATGCTCTCCGCACGCCTGTTCACGGCCAAGAACATAATACGGCCGCAGATGAATTTCAAGGAGCCGGTGGACAACAGTGACCAAAATCCGTTTACGCCACGCCTCAAGGAGAAACCAAACTCGCTGAAGCCCCTGGCAATGCTGCCCGAGTATGATGAGGCGGGCAATGTGCACGCTTATCTGCATCCGTACGAGTTTGAGCTGATGAAGTTCGAGCCGTCGGCGGGGCAGCTGCAGAGACAGACGCCTGTGCTGCCTGCGCCGCCAGCGAGCACCGAGCTGATGCTCGTCGACAGTGTGGAGAAGCTGAACCAAGCACTGGAAGAGTTGCGTCAGGCGCCACACATAGCCATCGATGTGGAGCATCACTCGTATCGCACATTCATGGGCATCACCTGCCTGGTGCAGATGTCCACGCGCACCAAGGACTACATCTTTGACAGTCTGGCGTTGCGCGAGGAGATGCACGTCCTGAATCTGGTGCTGACGGATCCCAAGAAGCTGAAGATTCTGCATGGCGCAGATCAGGACATTGAGTGGCTGCAGCGCGACCTGTCGCTGTACATCGTCAACATGTTCGACACCCATCGGGCGGCCAAGGCGCTCAACATGGCCCGACTATCGCTGGCGTTTCTGCTGAAGCACTACGTGGACCTGGACGTGGATAAGAGCCTGCAACTGGCGGACTGGCGCATGCGGCCGCTGCCCCAGCAGCTCATCGACTACGCCCGCCAGGACACGCACTATCTGATATACGTGTACGAGCGCATGACCAACGATCTGCTGCAGAGCGAGCAGGGCCAACCGCAGGCGCTGCGCAGCGTCTTCCAGCTGAGCACGGAGGTGTGCAAGAAGCGCTACAGCAAGCCGCACATCGGTCCGGAGTCACACCTCGATCTGGTGCGAAAAACGAAGCGCTCCTTCGACAATCGACAGCTGCACGCGCTGCGCGGCATTTTCGAGTGGCGCGATGCGACGGCGCGGCAAGAGGACGAGAGCTACGGCTACGTGCTGCCCAATCACATGATGCTGCAGATAGCCGAGAGCCTGCCCAGGGAGATGCAGGGCATACTCGCCTGCTGCAATCCCATACCGCCGCTGGTGCGCCAGCAGCTGCACACGCTCCATCAGATCGTGCTGAAGGCACGGGAACAGCCGCTGGTTAAAGTGAGTTACCCCAAGGCGGATGCGCCCATTCATCTAATCGCCGTAACCGCCCGCTCCACGCCACTGTATTCAATCGCAATTAATTGTACTTAATGTTGAAAACAAAAGATAACGCAAACTCTCAGCTCATCTCATTTAAGGCTTAAGCTAACGCCAGGGCAACGATGAATATTGTATATTTTGCTTTTGCTCTTTCAGCCCATTCTGGAGGCACGCAGCCAGCCGCAGGGTCTGCCACCCAGCAGTAAGGATTACAGCAGCAAACTCTACTGCCCGCACGACTTTACACACTTGGAGGAGACGCGCGATGATCTGCCCACGCTGCTGAAGCGCAACGCGTCGGGCAGGTTGCAGTTGCCAGCGGTGGAGGAGCAACTCAAAGAGCACGTTCCCCTGGCAGTGCCTGCCATGGCACTGTTTGCCAAGCCCTCGGCGCACACCCCAGAGGAGGAGATGCGTCTGGTGCACTTGCGCAAGGAAAGTCAGGTGCTGCGCATGCCCTACAAGCGCTACCTGGCTATACTGCCGCTCATGCAGCAGCTAAAGGCCGACCAGCAGGCACGCGACCGCACTGAGCTGGCCAAGCGACGCCTATGCCCAGCGGCACCCACGCCAGAGGACATCAAATTGGAGTCATCCGCAGGTAAGGTCGAGGATCCGGAGGATCCCGTCTACAGCCTGCCGCTCAAGGAACAACTGAAGCGCAAACACAAGCCCGATCCTGACCAGCATCCCAGCAGCAGCAAGCGTTTGAGGGAAGCCAACAGCAAACCCAAGCCGGAAGCAGTTCCAGCTGTAGTAAAGAACGAGACAATCGCCTGCATCAGTGACGACGACGACGATGCTGTCGTCGAAGTTCCCATTGAGAAACAACCCGCAGCGTTGGCAGGCGAAGCCCCAAGCAAGCGTCAGCAGAAGCGTCAACACTTCCAGCGCTTCAGGGGTGGCAAGGCACGCGGCAATCATCCACAGAGTTCCAGTCAGCCAGTGCAGCAGCAGCCCAAGCCACAGGGCAATAACTTTGACTACAAGAACGTGGACTTTAGGCAGTTCAAGGGCGGCGCACAACGTGCACGTGGCACTGAGATTAAGCACACAATACGCGGCAGGGTAAGTGCCATCTTTCGTGCTTTTCCTTGCCTATTTAATTACTATTTTTCCTGCTTTTAGAATCGTCCCAACAATCGGAATAACAAGCAGTTCAACAAGCTATTTACATTTAGCAATGTAAGGAAGGAAGGCAAGAAATAGAACTGCGCTTAAAAACATTTAAAATAGATGTAAAAACTATGTGCAGTTGGTTCTGCAAGTTTATAAATATTCAATTAGACAGGAGTTTATTTTGTGTCCCATTTTGCAAATTTACTAAAATATTTCCTATTAAATATAGCAACCATAATTATGCATTAAACTAGAGCTACTGATTATGTACGATATGCTAAGGTCGGGTTTAAAAGTTCTATCTATTATTCTAGCTATTTTGTTCTACTTTTAATTGAACGTTGATATGTCATTAGTGCACCCAAGCCGAAGCCTGTTATGTGCGACTGCCAGGCACACTGCTTCCCGAGCTGAAGCGCGCATCCACTCTTGCGTGTGGCTGGTTGCTGTGTGGCACATTTTGGTCTAGTCTTAGTCTTAGGCTATCCAGCTGCTGTTAGAGCGTTTTGAACATTTTGTCACCCTCCAGGTCCATGCAGTATTCCACCACGGCATAGACCACAAGCAAGCGGCGTTCTACGCCGCGTTTATGCTTGTCCGTAATGAGCGGATACAGCGCATCCTGCTTGGACAAACGATCGACTAATTCGGTTAGCACGCCGCCGGAGAATACTTGCAGGCGATCCCACGTGGATTTGCGCAGACTAAGAGGCAAATAAAAGTTAGTTTAAATTCAATATTAAGAGTCTTCACTTACAGGCAACATTGATAGAGCGGTGCTAGAATGTCCAGATGATCCTTGTTGGGATTGCCGAAGGCCTTGCCATTGTCAATGAGCACCACACGATCCTCACGCGTCTCGTAGTGATGCCGATCACCGTTCTGTATGAGATAATCAAAGATCGCCACATCGATGAGGTCCAGCAGGCGAATTGTTTCCATTTTGTTCTTCAGCGATCTAGGCAGAAAAACTCTTTGACTTTTAGAGGATACTTTGAGCGGAAAGTATATCAAAACCCTACTTGCAATATGTCATATCATCCTCCCAGGGCGCTCGCCTGTCGTCCTTGTAGGTGCGCTGCCAGGGGGAGCGACGTTTTGCCAGTGTGCCGGGCACTATGTAGATGAGCACACCCTCGATATTGTGCCTGTCATCGCCGCAGACGGTCTCCTCCTCGTTGCAGTAGTGGCACTTGCCGTACAGGCAATACTTGTCCTTGCCATCCTCATCCGCCTCGATGCTGATGGTGCTCTGCAGCTCCTGGTCACCCTGTGCATAGATTTCAGTCTTCAGATTGACCACGCGACCCACCACAATCGGTGTCCAGCGCAGATCGAGCACGGCGCCCAAATAGAAGGCGTACACCTCGGCCGTGTGCCGATCTTTGCCGCTGTAGACTTGACCCTCGATGATCTCGTCGCGGGGATACCACTGCGGCTTGAAGATGACTTTCTGCTGCTGCGACAGGCGCATCAGGAGCTTCAGTTGAGTGCCGCGTGCCAGATTGTTCACCCGCGTGATGGGCTCCTTGCGCAGCGTCTCCAGCAGGCTGCCCATCGACGAGTCGTACAACGGATAGATCTCATTCTCCTGCGGCCACTGCAAAGGATGTGGATGGATGTTCGAATGTGGAAACTAGCGGCTGCAGCAGTGACTCACCCAATTGGCAATGTCCCAGAGCACGCTGGCATTCTCATAGGGGGCCATTTTGTAGTTCTTGAGGAGTTTGTTGCGGAACATAAAGAAGCGCGGATTGCGATTGAGGTAGGCCGGATGCAGGTGACGCATCTTGTGCCGTATCATATTCTCCAGAGCTCGTACGCTGGCCAGGTGACCCTCCTCGATGTTCAGGTAGTACATGAAGTAGAAGTTGGCACCCAGCACCAGGCCCAGCAGGCTGGCCACAATCCCCACTATGATGATGGTGCGTTTGTTCATCCTGCTGCAACTTGTGGCCGCTGTTGTGCCTATTTAGCTGCTGCGGCGGTATGGTCTGGGCAATCGCTGGTACTTTATTTTTAATATCACGTATACGTAACGCGGCGGCACTAGCAAATTGCTCAATTTTAGCAAATATTTTGTTGCTGCTGGGCTGCCGTTGCCGCTGCTGTTGCATGCTGCTGTTGTTCCTTCTGCGGCTGCATTTGGCTTTTTGGCAGACATCGACAACAACTGTTCGCATCAGTCCATTGTTGTTCCCATCCGCACTAATTGCGGCCATGCGCCGCTTGCTTCTCTTTCTGTTTTGCTGTCGAGTATCTAAATTAAATTTGTTTTGCCACTCTAATGGAAAGAGTCTGGACACTCTGGGAACTCTAATACTTACTGGCTGCCTGACACTCCGCTGCCAACAAGTCAATCAGTCAATCAGTGGCGGGGTTGTAGCGCCTCTTGTTTAAATACGTGTACGTGGCCTGACCCTTTTCCGACTCTTGGCAGACAGCGGCCAATAAATCTTTGCAGCGTACACAGTTCTGTGCATTCAATTAATTGGACGACGAGCCGATCATTGTCAGCACGCATTCGGCACCTGGGAGCTTCTGTGGCGGATGCTGACAAGAACAAAGCATTTTACTACCGATCCGTTGGGTGTGGTGTTGCTGCCCCGTCGTATTGTTTGTGTAAATTGTGGTTTTAAAAATAGTTTTGTTTATGTGAGCGAAAATGGGAAAAACGTGCGTCCGATGCCGGTAACTCAAAACAAAACACAGCTGACGCGCATGGGTCTGGCAGCACTGTGCCATAGGGTTGTCCACTCGAATCAGCTGATCTGGCAGTGCCACGATGCGAGCATTGTTCCGTTACAAAAATTGAACGCGAGTGAATTTGCAGAACACGCAAAAATGTTTTGCCAGCGCTAAAGAGTCTGTTAGGTGTGCAAAAGTTAATCAAACGCCTCTTGAAACAACAAACAATGCCCGGAATAAAGGTCAGACAATGAACTCACTTAGGAGTACGCAAGGTAAGTGTTCCGCTGTTGTTGTTGTGGTGGGCGGCGCACATTCTGGTAAGTGCCCCCTGCCAGACACCCATACATCCACACAGGCGAGCACACGCAAGGAACACCCATGGGAAAAAGTACTGGATTAGCACTCTTTCGGGCACACAGAGAGAAATAACTGTTTGTTTTCATAGTTCTTATTATTCTTAACAATTCCGATTCACACTTTTGTCTCGAGTGTAGAGTGGGACTAAATGAGGTTAGGTTAGGGTTCAACGGGCATTGGGAGACCTCAGTGGAGCAGAGCGCATAAACCGCTGCTGGCTGAATGGGAGAGTGGAGGCGCTCGTGTGCTCCGCTCCTCCCCGGCCACATATGGCACAAAATAAACCAACAAATGATAACGGCACTCGAGCAAACAACAATAAAGGATGAAAAGCACGAAAATCGAGTAAATGAAAGAAAATAATGGCGCCAGAATAAGTATAACAAGTAACAAAACGCACGAACATGCTTTGCACACCATTCCCATCCTCCCAACCCGCCCGCGGGCACACACATCCAGCACACTTTCCTGGCATCCGTTCCATTCAAATGCCGCCGGCATCCGCCGGCAGTGTCGTCAACTGGGGAATTGCGGGCAGTTTGGAGTCCCTTCGGTCGGTGTCGACGCATAACGGTTACAGTTAACCTAACCTCACATTCATACCGCCCATACCTGAAGTACCGTACACCAGCTAATGCCAGCAGAATGTCCCGTTTGTATTTTTCTCCCACAAATTGCTGTTTTTGTTACGCTTCCAAAGGGTACCCATGGTATCAGAGTTCAAACTTACAAGAATTTTGCAAATTCAACGGGTTTCGAGGGTATTTCAGTCTTCGGTCACACGATTTATCACTTCTTGTTTTGTTTGTTTGTTTGGTGGTTGTGGTGTGAGTTGCTTACAACATATTAAAGTAAGCCAATTTCCATTCCCGAGCCCTGTTTGTGTTGGCCATGTTAATCATAAATGAACCTGCTGCCTGGTGAGCTGCACATGTGGTATCCACATGTGGCCACATCGCCCAACAGCTTGAGCTTGAACTTTTGTATTAATTTGCATGCAAATCTTGACCCAATTTGCCAGACAAAGGCAAGAGTACATTTTGATTCCTTACAATATTTGTCGTAAATTGAGCAAACAACTATCCGTAATTGATATAATTTCGGACAAGCCTGGCAAACTCCGTAGGCTGCAGCTAAGGAGCGAGCAAACGACGAAAATCAAATTAAACAATTCAATTAGGGCTCGAATTGAGAGAAGGTAATGAATGGTAATAAAATATTTAGTGTATTTAGGTCAGATGTCTTTAGAGAGAAGGCACAACTACAACCGATGACGGAGAGGGTCAGAGGGGAGTGGTAGAAAGAGTGTATCAATGCTCTTGGTGTGCAAATTTGATTTGTTTATGTTTACTTCAATTGAATCGACTTCCATTTTGCCACAAAGATGCAGAAACTGAAAACTGATAAGCCCCACTGGGAGAGAGAGTTACCAGCGATCTTCTCGTATCTTTTTTTCGAATTGTGAATGTTAATATCAAACGTTCATTAAGATTTATTAATCGGTTCAATTCTTAATATTCCTTTAATCTTTTGTATAATTTCAAGCTCTTTTGGCACTGAAAATTGCTTAAGTAAAATTCTACAGCAATACTTTAGCAGCGTTTCCAACTCTAAATCAACGCCAACGCATAATTGTTAACAAATGTGCCCAAACATAATTGTAATTCGTATTGCCATTGCCATTTACACTTTCCTTTTAGCAGAGGTGTAAACATAAAGCGAAAAATAATCAATTAATTCGCACAGCGGCACAGATGGCAAAGTCACTTCCAGGGTGTTAATTGCTCATGTGTCTCCTCTCCTCTCCTCTCCCATCCCATCCCAACCCCAAGGCTTTTCCCCATACCCTCTTCTGTCGCTTTTTGTATGCTATTCCGTTTTTGTCTAATGGCTGCCGCTCTTATCTGGCCTCTCATGCGTTTTGTAATTAATTGGCGGACATTTTACTGTCATGGAACGTTGTCATAGGTCGTTCAGCACGTGTCGACTGGAGAGGGAAGTGGGGGAGTGGGCTGAGTGGGGCTGATTCGAGCTAATGATTAATTACAATTTAATTTGTTTGCCATTTAGCCATGGCATCCGCCTCTTTACAGCGAAGAAGACAGACAACTGTGATGAATCCCGCTACCAAAGTGAATGATGGAAAAGCGCCTGCCAAAATGTTTGAAAATGAAGAATCCTGGCAATTTAATGTCCTTCCTTGTTCGGGTAGGTCCTTCATATTTTGCTTTAATGGAATTTCAGTTCAGTTTCGGCCGGGATGGGATCCGTCTAATTAATTGTTTTTTGCTCTTGTTATTATTCGTTTTCATTTTCATTTTCGTTTCGTTTTGTGTCTGTTTCAGTTGCTTTCTGTTTACATGGCTGCCAAAAATATGAAAAATTTGTTTGTGTTTTGGGCTTAGGCCGATGCTGAATGAGGCAGCCTAGGAATTATGTTGCTAAACTGAAGGCGAATACTCCAGGAATAACAAATCACGCTTTAAAGCCCGTTCTTAAAGGGTCCTTGCGGGCGTAATGTGTATTACACGCTTACTTTTCGTTCGCGCCATGGCAACAAAGGGACATGAGAAATGAGCTTCAATTTGGGATCCAACATGAAATTAACTCATTCGTTGTGGCCTAGAATAACAAAAGACACTCACTCACCCTCACCCCCTGCAGCAGCACACACACACACCCATAAACACGCCGACACTGAGGTCAAGCAACGTCATTTTTCAGGCGGTCCAAACAAAAAACTTGAAGCTTCAAGTGCCCGCCATGCCAGGAATTTAATGTAGGCCGAATGCCACTGTGTGTGTGTGTATGTGTGAGCCAAAACACATGCTCCGCCAGCAGGAAAATATAAACAAACGCCCACGCGTGGGAGGCAGCAGTAGCGTAAAAGCTTTTAGCAGCTAAAACTATGCCAAGCGAGCTTTGTGCGTAAAGCTGTGCCAGGCAGAGCTGAAGCAGCAGCAACAGCAGCAGCAGCAGGCGCAACAGTTTTTGAGAGTGGCTGCAGCACGGCAACACTGGCTCCGGCCCTTGGACGCTCGCCTCTCCACATTCGTGTGCTCTCTCTCCTGAGCTTTGTCTCTCTCGCTTGCGCTCTCTCTGTGTTGCCTTGTGGCGGAGCAACAGTTAAAATGCCTCGCTCACCCTTCACGGGTCCCCGGACAAAGTTGTTGCTGCTTCACCTGAAATTTGTTAGGGCCAGACTGGGGAATATGAGTCAATGGAGCAGAGCCGAGCATAGCAAAGCAGAGAGCAGCAGCAGCAGCAGAAGCAGCAGAAGCAGCACCCCAGGATACGCTGAGAATGGATGTCGTTCTTAGTGCCTGGATTGTTGTTGGCCCGTTCACAACGTGGCCGAAACGCAGAGCGGAGAACGCGCGCACTCCACACCAAAGTGTTGAATAGCTAACGTAAGAAAAAGAGTACCCGTACCCTTTGATTTATGCCCGTGCACCGTGCGTTCGTGTAGTTAGTAGTTTTTTTGGTAACAGTAAACCAGAGCCACGTGCGGCCATAACAAGTGTCTCCGCTCGAAATGCAAATAAACGAGATCCACTGGATGTGCAAAGTGCATATTTTATGGATGCTGTAAACGCGAAACCATTAAGGTACAAGTCATTAAGGCACAGCCTGTACAGCCCTACTAATTGTTCGGGTAATCAAGTAAGTGAAGGAGAGCAGAAGGAAGGCAGAATTTAAGTTGAAGCTTCCAGATTTCAATTGGTGCAATGTGGGGATATGACAGCATTGAATTTCAATTATGCATGTCTTGCACAATTTTTCGATTTTCCGAGCTATCGAGCAGCCACATAACCCAGTGCAGTAGTAGGTAAGGTTAGAGGCAGTGTTGTCATCTGTTCATCGTATCCCTTAAGGTGTTTTGTGTCTGCTATCTGTTTGGCTTTCATCTTCAATTTCCGCTGCGCATTCGCGCGTACAACATTCCAATCCATGACCGTTGTCGGTGTCGTTCTCGTCGGTGTCTCCGTCGTTGTCTGGGCGCATAAAAAACCAAGAAAATTACAACTTATTGAGTTGCAAAGCGCCCTGAACAGTCTCTCACACACACACACACACACACACACATAGACAGACACCATGCCACACACGCATACCACCACACATTTACACAGACGCTAAGCGACGCAGACATACAGTGCCCCCGGGAGTGTGCTATACTTTTCTGTCAGCTTCCACACTAGTACTGGCCACAAGCACAGGGCCTCCCACCCCCGTCGGCTCTTACCATTTGCATGCTTTGTGCGAAAAAACATCTGCACCTATCTGGGCCCTGCTTTAATTCATCTGTTCGCATTTTATGGCCACTCCAACCGAACCACCCTGACACTCTGCCACCAACCTCCGACCCGCCGTTGCCCGGCCAATCACAGTGGGTCAGCCAGACAGACTGACAGACTGACAGACAGGCAGACCGACGGACAGACGGAACAGTAGACAGCTGTAGTGGAGCGAAAACCGCAGTCGTGGCCTCCAGCACGTGCATACATTCATGTGTTCTTCTGTTGTTTTCTCTCTGTGTGTGTGTGTGGCTGTGTGGTTGAGGTCTTTGGTCCCTGCTTGTTATCAGAACAAATAGAAAGATGCATCTGCATCTGTGTGTGTTAGTGTACACCTGTAGCGCTGCCAGA